CAAATGCATAATGACTTAAAGTAAAAGCTTGTATATCGTATTCCGCACTATCGAGTTTATATTAATTCATTAAAATAAAGAAGTTTGGAGTTGTGGGAGGATTGCATACCTATGTAAAACATCATTTAGCCTTTTTATTTCATGATATTTAAATGTCAGCTTACATTCTTTGATCAGTCATTATTCAAGATTTCAAGATGGCGTCGAAGCAACACGCTGACGCTGCTAAGCAACACAAGTACGCCCACAAACCAGTTCCATCAAAGATACCAAAACATAACATGTCAAAGGACAAGAAGGAAGAAACAGAAACCGAAAAACCAATACAGTTAAAGGATATTCACGATATGATGAAGGCCATGATGACGAAACTTGAAAAGCTGGACTTCATCGAGATCAAAGTTCACGCAGTAGAGGAAGATTTGAGAAAAATGAGAGATTCTATTGAATATGTACACGCGGAGGTAGATGATTTAAAAGCTGAAAACATTGGACGAAAGAAAACGGATGAAGATACAAAACAGCGACTAGAGAAACTACAGAAAGAAAACGAGATTTTAAATAAGAGCGTCATTGACCTTAAAGCAAGGTCAATGCGCGATATTAAACCTTTTTTTTATAACTTGCCCGAAAGTAAAGATGAAGATACAACCAACCTAATACATGGACTACTGGAAGAAAAGCTTGATATCAAGGATGCCAGAGTCAATGTAAAGATCGACAGATCGCATAGGCTCGGTAAACCGAAGTCAGGAACGACAAGACCGCGACCCATTGTCGCAAAATTTAACTACTTTCAGGACCGTGAACAAATACGTCGCAATGCAAGGAAATTGAAGGGCACAAAGTTGGCAATAGGTGAGCAATTTCCCGAGAAAATAATGAAGATCCGCAAGGAACTATATCCTGAATTTAAAAAAGAGAGGGAGGGAAGTGGGTAAAAAAGCTACGTTTGTGAGAGAAAAACTCATCATCGAAGGGCAAGTATTTTACAAACCAGCGAAATGATCTTGACAGTATCATATTACTGCTAGAACTAAAATTCATTTTATCCTTTTAATATATACACGCTACTCTATAATGCCTTGTATAGTTAGAAATGTATGATGATAATGATTCTTTTCCTTTTCACAATCTTAGCAAAAATCAATTTGAAACACTAAATAGTAAAAACAGACTTAGCCAGAATGATATGGATAGACTAAGCCAATTAAGATTTAATCCGTTTCAACCAGATCAAAACATAGCGCTTTCCGGCAATAATTCAGAAATCGATACATCTTTCAATACAAATAAAATAAACTGCGATTATTTCCTACCAAAGGATTTTCAAACGCAAATAGGAGATAAAAATATAGAAACAAGATTTTCGTTACTACACTTATAAACATCAGAAGCATATCAAATAAGTTTGATTCATTTAACAATTTGATTGATACTTTAAATATACCATTCCAGGTAATAGGACTAACTGAGACCTGGTTGAATGACAACAATATGGATTGTTATACTTTAAATGAACACGAGTATTTTGGTTCAAACAGACCGAGTAAAAGAGGCGGGGGTGTAGGTTTATATATTTTGAAACAATTAAAATTTAAAAGTCGGAATGATTTAGACAAAAACGTAGAAGATATAATTGAAACCAAATTTATTGAAATAATAAATGATAATGGTAAAAACATCATTATTGGTGTTATATATAGACCACCGAATAAAAATTTTGACACATTCAAAAACGCAATTAATGAAATTTTAGAAAAGATAGACAAAGAAAATAAACTCTCTTACTTAATGGGAGATTACAACATTGACCTTTTGAAATCAGAATCTTGTGATTATACCAATAATTTTATTGAACAACTGTTCACATCATCTTTTTTCCCGCTGATCACTAAACCAACGCGAATTACTCATCATACTGCCACACTAATTGACAATATTTTTACCAATAATCTGAAAGAACTTGAGGATATATAGTATACCAACGATATTATTTTTAGTGATATTTCAAACCACTTGCCAATAGTGCATACATTTAACACAAATGTTTTAAGTAAAACAACCACAAAACATTAAGAAGTGTACCATATCAAACATTGTTTAATAAAACTAACACAGAAGCCTTTAAAAAGGAAATT